AAAAGTAAGAAATTACATATACTGGCATCAGAATTCTCAAGAGCATCATGTAAGATTAGGCAACTGTGATACAGTATTTCTGAGAAATTCAAGAAAAGAACAAACAAACCAAGGAAAACAAACCAAGTTATCCTCTAAATATCAGAAATATAGAATAAGTTTGAATATGTAAGAATCCAGGGAATACTGTACATATAGGCATTTCCTGGAGTAATCTACTAGAGGCAAGGTTTCATCCAACCAAGGAGAAAATGCAAAAACGGAATGATGATAGTTATTTGAAAGGGTTAACTGTAGAGTTAATTGTAGGGTCATGTGTGGAAGAACAGCATTGTAAATATCATATATTCTGCCAAAGGAGAAGGAAAGCAACCAACAAAATGGGAGGAAAAAGGGAAAAGAACAATATAATTACTGACTGCATAGAGAATACATAAGAGTCAAAGGATTTCATTTAGAGCTGACAGAAAATATTTTTAAAAGATTAAGAAAAAAGGGGAGACTAGAGCTCTGTGAGGTATCAATAGCAAAGTAATCCCCAATATAAAGATAGAAAATTCTTAAAATCCAAAGGAAAAATTTAAAACAGCAGACAAACCACATAAACATAATCAAAACCAAAATGCAAACATGTCAGTTATATCAGTAACTATGAACAGCTTAACTAATATTAAAAGAAACAGACTTTCAAATTAATTCATAAAGCAAATCTCAATTCTGTGGTATACATAACAGACATTTCTAAAACATAATGATTCAAGTTGTTCATAACAAAGAAATGGGAGGCCAGGTGATGCCACACCTGCCTTAAAAGCATGAGGTCCTAAGTTTGATCCCTAGTATTATGGATATATATAACAAACACTACACCCTAAAAACAGAGAATACACCTTGTTCTTGGTGTACATGTATCATTCACAAAAGCTGATTATATATTAGGTCCCAATATATTAGTAATTTCATGATACAAATATTATAAACAATTCTCTGAACATAATGCAATAAAAATTGGCATAAAAACGAAACAGCTGGGCATAGTGTTATACACCTGTAATCCCAGTTATTTGGGAGGCTGAAACAGGAGGATCACAAGTTCCACACCAGCCTGGGCAACTTAGCAAGACCTTGTCACAACAAACAAACAAAAGTAAAAAGGTTTGGGGATAACAGCTCACTGGTAAAACACTTGCCTAACATGCATGAGGCTCTTAGTCCAATCTGCAATTCAGAAAGGAAGAAAGGAAGAAAGGAAGGAAGAGAGGAAGGAAGGAAGGAAGGAAGGAAGGAAGGAAGGAAGGAAGGAAGGAACATAAGGAGAAAGGGAGGGGGGGAAGAGAAAAAGAAGACTATTCCAAGTAGAAATTTAAAAAAACCAACTTTCAAACCTTCAGTGAAAGAAGACACAAAGAGAAAATATGAATATCTGAAAAGTAAAGGTAATAAAAACACTTATATTAGAATCTGCAATATATTTAAGGCCCTGACTTTTTCTCTGATCATTGCATTAAACGTATAAACTAGATTCTTAAATATCTATAAAATAAAAGTGAAAACATAGAATTTTTCAACTCAAAAAGCTAGAAAAAACATCAAAGTACACTAAAAGAAGGACAGGGAACGTTGGGGTGTAGCTTAGTGGCAGAGTGCTTGGCACCAAAAGGAAAAAAAAAAAGTGACATAGGGAAATTTTGCAATATACATATTATTGAGGGCCGGGGATTTAGCTCAGTGGTCTGCCACCTGCCTCACAAGCGCAAAGACCCGAGTTTGATCCCTGGTACCAATAAATAAATAAAAAAATAAATAAA